TCTCGCTCATTAACATCCACTCTCCGCCAAACCCATCGAGCGTGTGAGAAATCGGCTTATCGTTTTGCTCCTGTGTTGCGCCTGGTGAGAGGAGAGGATGTGCGCGCACAGGCTGTGGATGTGAGCTTTGGTGATTTGTGAATCCACTCTGCAGACAGTACAGGGAGGCAGGTACTGAGGAGCAGTTTGTTTCTGGGGCTTGTTTTTTGGATTCTTAAAACAAGTGTCACTTTATGATTATGACGCGCTTATTGTGAACAGTCTAGTCATCATGGAGAAATGGACTAATCGGATACTTTTTGATGGCATCTTGGCATTTCAAACCGCCACAACTAGGGAATAAAATGATGCCCGAAACGCATGGAGGGATTTTGTGAGACCAACAACTTCAGTCCTAAATGGCAGAGCTTGAAGTTTGCAGAAATCTTAGTTTGGAGAGGGGTAAGTGATCATTTTCAGCACTTGGACATTGTGGTTATTTGGTATATCTGTCTCACAGAAGACAGTGCGGTGCACACATTCCTTCGCGTGCGCACCAGCCTACATCGCAAGAAGGCTGGAGCGTAATATCTCCACTGCGCTTGTTGTGGGGAATTTTCATCACCCACTCTGCTACAAACGCTGGAATAAGGAACCTAATCGCGTTGTCATTTGCATGAGGGATTCATTAGGCAGTATTTAGGCTGATGTTTATTGGCGTTTCAAATACAGAAAGAATTCATTACACTCGGGGCAATATTTTAATTTTAATTTGTAAACTGCTGAGCGTTTATGTCAGCTTATATGAGAAATGTTGATGAGGAGCAGCAGCGGGAAACTGTCCCTGGTGCTGAAAATGCCCCTTTGTACGTGTCACTAGGGGGCAGAAAACCCCCTTAATTTCTCGATTGGATAACTCTGCCCTCAGTCCATATAGATCTGCATCCTGTAAGATCTGGATCTTCTGCACTGTTACAGAAATCTAACCATATCTGCGATGTTCACAAGTTCTGTCAGTACAATCCTTGGTGAGAACATGTCTCAGAAACTGACACACCACATAGCATTACCACATGCCATAGCTCAGTAAAAGAGGTGGGCTTGATTGTCGGTGGCATCAAGAGAAATAGGATCATTTTGAAAATCAGGCAGGGGATGTTAAGCGCCATACAATGTGGCAGAGCTGTGAATTGAGTCTTGATGGTCAAATTGAAGCCCTAACAGTCCCCGGGCTATTACAGCAGCCCTTTTATGATGTTGAAAATATGGAGAATCCTTGGCACTTAAAAGCAGAATACGTCAAGCTGTCAGCCCCCGCCACCACCCCTTGCAGTGCCAGGGTTTGTGTGTTTTTCTTTCTCATTTTGGGGTTTTAGAGGGAGGGCCCTGCCAACCTTGGACATGACACTAGCGCTTTATTCGTTTTGAACAACTCTTGTGCTTCATGGACAATCTGCTCTTGCTGTAAGAGAAACTGAACAAAAAATGAAAGGAAGAGGAAGGTATGGAGGAGCATGTATAGATACTAATCTCCTCCACATGGAGGAAATGGCTTTTCCATGTAAAATGTGTTTTTCCTCATGTGTCTCTCCTGCACTGATGATGATGATGAATCACAGCATGTTCCCCCTGTCTTCTCTCTACCGTCATCTTTGTTTCTGCCTCTTCCTTTTTTGTAGCTTCGGGGCAGAAACAGCAAGCAGACACCAGGAAGAAACTCTCCCAGTCCTTTAGATCTTCTCTGTTCTCCAAAAGTATTTCTCTTCTCTTCTCTTCTCTTCTCTTCTCTTCTCTTCTCTTCTCTTCTCTTCTCTTCTCTTCTCTTCTCTTCTCTTCTCTTCTCTTCTCTTCTCTTCT